TTAAAATTTGAGTTAGCCAAAAAAATAAAATAAAATAAAACAAGGAAGGAAGAAGCTTGATTGTCTGCATGAAAGGGTTTCAATTCCTACCCAGGTCTCTTTGCGGGCCTCCGAGTTCTCTACAAATATAGTGTGAGTAGAGGAAAGGTATAATGTTCCCACCGAAGATTTCCTGCGGGTCAGTCTATCAATCATACGCACATTCTCCACCTGAAAAAAAGCAACATACAATCTTTTTTTTCTTTCTAAAAACCAACCTTGTGATGTACATTATATGTTATCAATTGTAACAGGATGTCAATTATTTTGCAATCATAACACCAAGCTTCTCTTTTTCCCCAGCTTGGCATTATTCTAAAACATTCAAGTAGTATTATGAAATGAAGGATAGCTAGGGATAGATCACGTATGTACTTGTCCTAACCTTGAATACATTAAAATCATAAAATATCATACCACAGAGTATGTTTTTAAAATGAAATGGTAAGATCTGCTCAGTTCTCATGCTGCATCAGTAGTGCTGAGGCTGAACCATTATTCAGATCTTGTTACAAGGCACTAGATGAAGGAAGATGGGGGCTGCATTGTGGCCTATCACTGGGCATATTCTGTCAAACCATTTATTTTCAAAGAAAATTCATTCGGTAAACAAACATTGCGTTTTAAAAAGCATTATGTCATTCAAAACGAATGCGATCTAGAGGATGAACGCTGTATTGCGAGCGTTTATTAAATACCCGGACATAAAGGACATCAGCAGTACCTTTGGTGTTCTGATGTGCTCCATCCTAGAGACGCCTGTCCAAATGATGCGCAGGAAATTAATCCGGACCGACTGGGGAATCGGGTCTTTTTCAGATCAGAAGAACAGAGCAATTCGTCGCATGTTGGTTAAAAGAACATCATTTGATAATGGGATGGCCCGCAGGTACTGTAACTCAAGCCATGGCTCTGGTCTAAGTGCAGAGATCCGCTGTGCGCTCAGACTGGTACACGGTGGACAACACAGAGCGCACACACACACACACACACACACACACTCTCACTCTCACACACACACACACACACACACGCTCTACGAATCATACTATGGCGAAGGACAGGCTCATGAATATTACGTAAATTGTGTGACGTTAGTCCAATAGTTTTCTCTGATTGGTTGAAAGGCAGACAACGATAGGTGTGCTTTAGTCAGAGGGCGAATTAACGATTCTCACTTTGAGGAAGGTTTGGTTTATTCAGTTTAATGAAGGTACGTGACTGGACGCTTTAGGAAGGTAACCAAGCAACCGTCACAAAGAACTATTTAATATTTATGACCCAATCCCTCGCCGTAGTAGGATTTGTATATCGCATTACCTTGGATTATTTCACAACAGCGCACGCGCAAGCATCTCGTCCGTATCCCCATATTGAAACATACAAACTATCGCCCTTGAAATGAATGAAGACTAAGGACAAGGTGGTAGATAATGGTTGTATTTTAAGAGATACTCTATATAAGGTTCTGAATATCGATATATAG